ACCTGCAACAGCACAGCCAACGCAAGCCGAGCTGATGCAAGCGATCGCACTCTTTCGTCAGCGTACAGCGACACGGCAACTCTAGCCAAAATGCGGGCGGACGTGCTCGCACGGAAGCGAAGCATGGTCCAGAAGAGGATCAATCACTTTTTCCTCCCTCCATCTCAATAGCAACCAATAAAATGAGCATTTTTGGGGCACATTTGCTTTTTCAGACTGCCCGATTTTTCGGACATTTTCGCGGTCCCTTGAGGGTCCGAAAAATCGGTCTTCGACTGTATACTGTATGTTACCATGAACGCCTCTTAAATTCATTTATGGGGTAGGTTGAAAAGCCTGGAGCGGATTTAGCTGCTTTTTCGTCAATGTGGCCAGATCAGGCACAGAAATTTCGATTTCCGGGAGATTTTCAAGACAACTGTACAACCGAAAAAACGGTCAAAATCCCGGAGTCTCTCAGGCAATTCGGGAGACTTGGCAGGCAATTCGGGAGAAAGGGTTCACTACGCGAGTAAATACGGTAACTTGTTTTTGGTTCATACAAATTGGAGATCATATTAATAATTAGTGCCCCCTTCAAATTCTTGTTACCGAGATTCTACTGCACAGTTTAACCTGCTTATAGTGAACCTCCAAATAACGAATTCCTCGACATAACCAAGTTCTACTATTCCCCGCCATTACTCTATAGAAGCACAAGGATTTGTGACCTCTATGTAACAAAGTAACAGCTGGAAACAACCTTGATATAATGAATTTTCGCCTCGAACAGTCTAGAAATTTCACTCCAGACTTTGTAATTTTGTCACGAGCATGCATCTTCCGCCGATGAAGCGTGAAGCGGCGGCTGTGTACGCGTGGCCCTGGCGACTCCCAGGCGAAATCGAGCTTGTTATTGTGCGTAAGTGTGCGCGAGGCGGGTAGGCGGGCCTGTGCCCCGCGAGCTGGAGTTGACGCCGTTCTTTCTTCTGCAGGCGCATGCGCGGATGTGCCCTGCCCTTCAAAAAATAAAAAAGAGAACACTACTTTTTGCTTTGGCAGTGCCACGCTTATAGTTAGCGTCATATATGTGGGGCCGCACTGGATATGGAGGGTGCTTTAATGAAAATTTTTCCGCGGTATTCATGTTGTTCGTTTTTCATTTTTGATGTCGTGTACGCGTGCATAGTTTCACTGCACACGTGTTTTTTAATGCGATAAACTGTGTTGTCATTACCTAGGCGATGTCAGATTAGGCGCTGATGGAAACTCTCCCAAGACCACGGTGACAACGATGGATCTCCAGAGGTCGATTCGTCACGCGTTTGTATGCAGCGTGAGTTCGAGGGACAGAAGCCTTCGTCTTTAGTCTATTAGCTCTGGCAACAACACGACGGCGGGTTTGAATGCAACACAATGAATGCGAGGGCAATAAATTGTAATGTTATATGAATTAAGGCTGACAGCTAACTCTTTTGGATGTGATATCGCAGTACTCCCACAAAACGCTGGTGTAAGCAAATACGGCCACTCCAGGAAGAAGTGCTCTTTTCACACAGAGTCTCTTCGTGTTAAGAGCGCATTGATGCTTGCCGATATGTCACGTGCTCTTAAAATCCAAGTTCACTAATGCTACTCGAGTGACCCCCTCTCCTCCGCGTTTTTTCATGCTAGTTCGCAATGGGTGGACTCCTTTCTGTACGAGCATTCGACAGCAGTTTTAACACAAGGGGGATGTTATCATATGTGCCCTCCGGGCAATAGAGATGGGTCGGCTCATTTGACCTTTGCTTCAGCAGCGCTCTCGTGCTTTAACCGCTCAAGGTCACGAGGTGTGAGTGACGTTTTTTGTTTGCCCCTCCCATACCTCCCTGCGCTTTCGTCGGGACGAGAGGAAAGAGAATGTGATTGCAGCGTGTGACAAATCTTTGTAATTTCCCTCGTACTGGACGGATTCTCAAAATTTTTGTGGCATTCCATTTGTGAGGTAATACGTATTAATTCAATTCAATCGATTCCATGGTTACTCAAAAAAGTGTTTCAGGGCCCCTTTAAAGCTACGATGCGCGGGGCATTTTACCAATTTGGACTTCTTATGGAACATGGTACTGATGGAGAAAACCCGTCAAAAATGTCCATATAATTATATCACCATAATAATGCAGTTTTTACTGCTAAATAATTCTTTTGGGTTAGCTCTGTCTTAAGTTCCACTTTTGTTTATTTGTCGATTTATTTTTAAATTTTTGTACGGAACCTGCATAGCATAACAAATTTTTCCGGCAATTTGGCAACTTCGTTACATCCAAGTTTAAGGGGGGACACTGTACTTGAGACGAAATGTCAGATATTTTCATGTGTTTATAAAAAAATTCACAGAGTGATTGAGTTTTTGATGCCAATTTCAAAAATGTAGTTACTGTTCCTCTAAACCAGTTAGTTTTTCAGATATCCTAAAATAAATTACCGATTGTTTGTCGGTATAATGACACAAGAAATTTGTATTGCAAGGCTACTATTGGCACATGCCTGTGTACTAATGAACATAACCTGTACAACAGTAGGAGTGCTTTTTTTGATTTGATAATTTTAGCAAGGTTTGTCGCACCTTGCATTTCAGTGGTGCAGACACACCCACTTTATGCTTCAATTTCTGGCAAAAATTAAGTTTTTTGAAGGTCTCAATAAAAAAATTCACACCTACCATTGTGTAAACTCAAGATACAGCTACATGACACAACAAAAATGACAGTCCTGGCTGCTTTGAAAGCAGAGATATCTTTTAGACAAGTTTGCAACTGCAGCAAAATTTGAATCCTGAGAAATCATGCAAAAACACTAGAAGTCCATTTTGGGCAGACAGTAGCATGGAAAAGCTGTTTATTTACAATGATTTGCTAATTCAGCTTTCTCAGTAGGCACCAGGCATGTAGTCCTTCTGCTTTGGGTCACCTAAATGGCGTTTTTTCAACGCCTGCTGCATGTTTTCCGCAGAGGCACACTTGCGAGGTGATGCGGTCTCCGTGTGCTCGTCTGCCGACTAGGCCGCTTATCAGTTCGGTGACACCTATGTGCGACGAAAGTGTGCGCGTAACCCGCAATCAATCGTACAGTAAAATACTTTTCTGGCTTGTCCAGATTGAGTTGATGTCACAGACCGAATTTCTGCACTCGCTCATCAATTTCAAGTCTCCAAGAGCAGCAAGGTGTTAGTTTCCTTTTCACGTAAGATTGCCACATTTTCGAGTGGAAGCCGCAGTGCAATATGTTCATCGGTGCGGACGCGTCGTTACAAGCACTTGGCCTGTTGCCAGTAGCCTTCCTTGCGCGGGCGTCGAGCACGTTCACCGTAAACGAATTAATTTTCTGTTCTTTGATGATGCACGGCGAACTCTACTCTGACGACCCATCACGCAGTTCCCGTCAGACGGGGGGGGGAACCCATCAGCCCGCTTAGCGATAAGATTGCGCTTCCCTTACACCGTTGTAAAGATTGCTATCTCTCGTAGCTTCACTTCTGCTTTTTTACTTGTCGTCCTGTAACTGTTGAAGCTCCAAAATATTGCCGCTTTCAGCGACGTTGTCGACAACCGACTGGCTCGTACGCGAGTTAGGCCTAGACCGGTGACTCGGTGACCGCCGTTGGACGCGGCGTGTTTGCTATCCCCCCTGTCCTGAGTGATAGCGGGGCTCTTTCTGAAGTTCACAGCGAACGAACGATCGCCACACCAGCTTCACAAATTAGTGAGGCGAGGAGCTTCTTTACTGCGGCAGGCAGTTGACAGCACCATGACAAAATGGCTCATGTCCGTGCGCGTCGCAATGAAAAAAAGCACACGCCAGAAACGCCACTTGACCAATGGGGTGCCTAGATTTTGTCACGTGCACCAAGAAGCCAATAGAATCGTGCGGTAGAGCTTCTTGATGACGCAATTTGCTGAAAAACCAATGAGCAAGGCGAGCCACTGGTGGCGGGAAATTCAAGGTAAAGAATGACCCTTCCAAACGAGACCAAGATGACCACGATAGCTCGTGCGTAACGGCAACGGTTTGGCGTGAAAAAAGCGCGACTTTAGCGTCGATATGTGCTCAGATTCGTCACACAGGGGTGTTATAAATTGATTTTGTGCCAGAAATAATGGCGCGAGAAGCTTGAAACTTCAGATAAGTGCAAAAATAGTAGCAGATTCCGAAAATGTTGACTTCAAAAAGTTGTTTTTTTCGAGATTTTCGGCATTTTAAGACCCGTGTCCCCCCATAATTGTATACAATTCAGCCTCTGCACTGCCACATTCTAGATAAAAAAAAACGATGGAACACCAACTTACCGGCAGTTCAATAACCTAGCCAAAAGAAACACTTTCATGTTGCAATGTTGAAAACATGCTTAAACATCCTCTGCAACTTTTTTTCTGCAGTTTCCCTTCGAAGCATTAGAAAAAGATTCTCGACATATTCGAAAAATATTCAATGAAACTCACACTCACTTTAACATACGAATTCGCTTCACGCCCATAATTTTGCTATTCACACAGCTCTATTACTAAAGCACTTCTGAAATTCAATAGCTTTAACTGCTAAAGGCCCGGTGTATTCAGACAGAGTACATTAAAAAGCCAGATATATTTAATCTGAAAGGGATCAAAAAAAACTTTGATATATGTTGGTAAATTTATGTATCAAGTCTTTCATACATAAAATATTTCAAGAGAATTTCACCCCCCCCCCCCCCCACTGGCTCAATATACAAAATAATCCACTTGATGCGGATTCATTACACGTAGGTCCCACTATTCCTGGTGCATAATTTATGCTTTGAAGAAGCAACATTTTATAACAAGCATACAATGCAGTCAAATGAACTTGTGAACATTCTGAATGTTAGGACATCAATAATGAGAAGTACACCTCTTTTTTGTTAGAGAATTATACAAAAACCCTTCAGTATACATGCGGATTTTAATGTCAGCCTCTCGAAATCCCACACCTGAACGCAGAGTGATGCACAAAACAGTGCTCACCTGTCGGGAAAGGTCTTTGGCTTGCTGCTGCCACCGGTGAAGCTCGCGCTGCGTGTACGCAAGAGCTGCTCTTGCCTCATCTCGTTCATGTGCTCGCTGCTCTTGCTCAACCAGGGCACCTGTCAGCTGCTCCCTCAATGTCGCCACAGAGCACACCGCTCTTTCGTACTCCTGCGGGCCATCAATATCAATAGGCTTGCCATTGAGTCTCTAAATTCCAATTTGCAGATGAACTGAAAAACAGAGTTGTATGTCTAGCCAAAGCCACTTATCGCAGATATAACCATCTATCGGTTGTAACGACCACGTTTCGGAGCACTAATGATTGTCCTATGGTATTCATTGAAGCTGTGTCCACATAATAAATATTTTTCAAAGCCACCTACTTTTACAATGAACACTTGCGACATGGCTGTGGTAAAAATTTGACACGTACAAAATGAAAAAGAAAGAAGTTCCAAAAGACATCCTAAAGCTCAAGAAAGGCACCATTTTAATCACGACGAAGATATCATAGACTAAAGCACGCATATTTCGGACATTTTGAGCGAGCTCACTTATTTGCCAGAAGTCTCTTCAGTGGCAGAATGGAAGTGAGAGAGAAATGAAAAGAAATAGAAGGCAGCATCAAGACTTGTGGTCAGTTTGTACATGGCAAACTTTTCCGATGCTGTTCTCTACATCTACGACTACACAGGATACCAAACAATGCCTTGCAGCGCAAGAAGGCATAAATGCAAGAAGCAAGCACTTTTCGTCACATAAACGCTCACTTCCCCGATGCCACAATATGCCACAGAGGGTCATCCGTCTTATTGGTAACATGAGAGACCTCATATCGATCAGTGATAACAAGTTACACACAATTGTGGCGGTGCCTTCCCGTATAAACATCAGTAATGAGCAAAGGCAAGGTTGGCGATGAATGTGCCATTATGTCCAATCACCGACAGGCTTACCACTGCCATCTGCAGCATCTGCTCAGCCATGCGTGTGGCATAAACTTTGTGGAGTAACGATGCACCCCATGCAAGTTTGCCGCCGCATCGTGAGAGACTGCTTGCGCGTTAAACTAACGGACTACTCACTACACCTGTTCAGAGTGAAGCAATCATGAAGAACACCGTGGACTGTAAGTGACGGCAGGCGACGCACTCATGGGGAGAGGAATACTGAGGAGATGTCACATTCGTGAATCCTCCACCTTGCAAACACCGGCACCGCCTCCTAGCGAAGAAGCAGCTACACATTACGCAATGTTCACTGCGCCGTTCACAAGCACATGCGCGTATTGAGCAAGTTGTGGGGTCTGAAAATGGCGAGCACCAGCTCTTGGAGTGAACAGAGACAGCAGACACGGTTGGAACGAATGTAACAATACACCCATTTATTTAAATACCTTTTGATCGACGATATCGTGCTTCAGAGCCCCCACAAAGCCCAAAACTCTTGCAGTCTTTGTTTTTTTTTTTTTTCACGCCCCCGCAGCGTAGTCCATACTCATGCGTGCAGCTCCTTCTGTGTGTTTTTTTAGAAAAACTACATAATGGCCAGTTGCAGAAAGTACAGCATGCAGGGGTGTCACTTCGCATGTATACGCACGTTTGCTTCATTGCTGATTTGCTTTTGAAGCTCCTGGATGTGCACTCTGTTGGTTTTTATTGATCATGTCAACTTGAAATGCATGTGAATTTTGGTTTTTGGCATCCGACGCACCGTACATAACATGCGCTGAAGGCATCGTATCGTGTTTTTAGGGGGTGTGTCATTCATACAGAAGGGCAATAAACTTATGGTGTTGTTCTTGAACAACGTGGTGTATGTATAGTGGGGTGTGCACGCTGAGTGCTAGTAGTTTTATGTGTGCACTGGAATCACAAACCTTACAAGCACAATTGTATTCAATACAGCAATGTCCTCTTTTTGAAATAAGGCTATGCTAAATACTAGATTGGCATTGCGCCAAATAGCTACTAAACGTGTCATGGTCAATCAGCCGGCAAATCGGAAAACCCGTGTGCCAGAAAGAAAAACAAAGGCCTAGTCGCACCACAACGCACAAGTCACTGCCAAGTGAGTTCGAATACAATCGTGCACAGGATGAATGTTTTTGATTACAGCACGTACCAGAACTTTCTGTACTGTTGCACACAAACACTCCTCGAAGAATTGCAGCCTGCGTCGCTCGGACCTGCCATGCACGAACAGCATGGTAAACGTGTGCTCACAACATTTTACTGCATCGAAACCGCACCATGCCCGGTAAGTTTAAGCCGGCACCAGAAATCTGCGCAGAAGCGAACCAGCGGGGAAAGCCTGCTGCACGCCAGGCATAACCTGTGCTGTTCTGTTTTCCCCATACAGTTTGTTTATCTCATAAATATAACCTCACTTCCTGCACACTTTTCACTATGCACTGTGACACGATAGGGCCTCTCCCGCGTTTTCCTTCCTACGTGGACGTGCTGCACGCAACTAGCCAATAATTATCGGTTCCAGGTGGCAGTACCCTGCTTGCGTGAAACGTGTAACACTAATTTAATGCAACCGTGAGTACACAATGGGCATCGCTTAGAATACGAAAAGACCTAACTTGTCACCAAAGAGGTTGTTAGCTATCATTAATAAAAATGTGCAGAAGGAAAAAACTACATGGTCACTAACTGCCCGTTTTTATAACGACCACTTTTTGAAGCCCTTTTGAATTCGTCATAAATGGTTTCAACTGTATTTTAAATAATAAAAACATACCATGAATTTCTATTTTATGACCTATTTGGAGGTTATTTAAAACAGAATTCTTCCCTCCTGCTGACCAGATTGGAATGAAGTAGCCGCGAACTGTTGTCACAGAGCGCACACATTGCCAAGCCGCCTCATGCCTTCCTGCAGCCCCTCTGCCCACCATCCTTGTAATTAGATTTCTATATCTTAAAGCAGTCTTTGATTCTGCAATGGTTCTTCACTCTGTAATCACCAAGTAGTGATTCTTAACCACCTGGTGATCATCACTCGTCACATGCTTAGCCTCATTCACACTGCCATGCACTGGCAGTTACTACACAAGAATACCGGTACAGTCTTTGTGAAAGCAAACAAGCGAGCTAGTTAAGCATCATTTAGAAAGCAGTATGACCCACTGCAATTCATACGTGATACATGTTCCAAATAAGTTATACACTTTTTGGGAAAGAGGTTATTTCAATTTTTTCGCAATGAATGCCTAGCCCTAGCCAAAAGACTAAAATAAATGACTCTTTATCAAATGCAAAGTAAAAGGAATAGCATATTTTAGTAATGTTCAAAGTTGGGCGAGTTGGTGATAGTTCATGTTTACATCTGAAGCAGCGCACGGAGACAAGCACACAAGGAACAAAAGGGTGTCCCTTTCGTTCCTTTTGTGCTTGTCTCCATGTGCTGCTTCATAAGTAAACAGCATATTTAAGGTTTCAAATATCTGCAGACTACTGTCATATTTTGTCGTACACATGTAGTGCAAAATGAACTGAAATTTCAGCTAAAGTTGGGGTCCAGGTAACACGCAAATTTCAGAGTGCAACTTGGTTTGATGGCACTGCTTCATGGTAACGCAAAAATAGCACTATGCAGAGATTTTTCTTTTTGTATTTTTTTCTTTTGCTGTCTGTATTTGGAAGTGCGAGCCGTTATACATGTGCGAGCAAGGTGCTAAACAATATGTAAAACTGTATATACATATGTGTCTAGACACACACACACACACACACACACATATATATTATATATATTATATATTTATTAATGAGATCTAACACAATAATGCCAAAGAATGTATAGGGGAAGTTACCAGAACAAATGTAATGTAAATAAGAAGAAAGAAAAGTGGGTGAAAAAAATGACCAGCCGTGAGCAGGAATCGAACCTACGACCTTCAAATAACGCGTTCGATGCTCTAACCACTGAGCTATCACAGCGGCCTTCCCCCAACCCACTTTTTTGGGTTTATATGCGAATTTAAACGTGGGAGTGTCAGTCAGCGCCATCTGTAGCCAAGCGGCGAGTGTGGAACACCATTTTATGAGCCTGTGCGGCGTCATGCAGCACATGAACTTATTACAAGCGGGCAGCTGACCAATAATCTCTCGTATACAACCTAATGACACCGAGTCTGCGCCGAGTATGTCCACTTGATACAACTTTCCAGCTTCTGAGCATAGGATCATTCGCTTTAGCAGGTACTTCGACTTCACGTAGTGAATGATACCCTGGTCCATCGGCTGAAGAGCAGACCTAGTGTTGGGCGGCAAAAAAACTACTTTGATGCTCTTCAGTTCGACTGTACAGTTATGGGCACTGCACGTGTCAACAACCATAATTATCTTGCGGTCCTTCAACGTGAAGTGCCGGTCCAACTGCTGCAGCCAGCCGCGAAAAATGTCCGATGTCATCCATGCCTTCCTGTTCGCTGTGTACTCCACAGGAAGGCTTTTGACATTCTTAAAACAACGTGGCTTAAGCGCCTTCCCGAGGACAAGTAGCGGCAAGCGCTCCGTGCCAGTCATATTGGCGGCAAGAAGCACAGTTATCCTTTGCTTGCACTTCTGGCCACCAATGCACGCGTCCCATTTGAAAGTCACCGTCTTGTCGGGCAGAGCTCTGACAAATAGAGCAGTTTCGTCTGCATTGAACACGTCACGTTGTTCATATGCGGCGATGTGCTCCAGCAGCTTCACATTTCTCCACTCGGTGGTCACGCTTTCGTCAACGCTGGCCTTTTCGCCGCACACACTCCTAAAGACAAGTTCGTGTCTCTCTCAAAACCTTGCGAACCACCCTTCTGACGCTTTGAACGATTCAATGTTCATCATTGCAGCGTACTTCTCACCTTGCGCCATGATGAGAGGTCCGCTCAAAGGCAGATGCGCGTTGCGACAGTCAGTAATCCACCAGAGCAAAGCTTTTTCGAGCTGGGGATGAGCTGCGGTTCGCAACCGCTTTCTAGAGGCATGAAACTTCTCGCTTTCGAAGTCTTGTCGAATCTGTTGTTCATTTTTCACGTACGTTCCCAACGTGCTCCGCTTCACGTTGTACTTGGTCATAACCTGCTGTCGCAATTGGCCGTTCTTCAGTGCTTCCAAAATTTCCACTTTAGTCGCCAAGTTCTTCGCGTCGTAGTTCTGCCGCTTTTTCGG